GGGGAGGGGGAGGGGGAGGAGGAGGGGAGCGGAGTGAGGAGCCTGCTGGCATCCTAAGGAGGAGCACGTTTGTAGCTGGCCGGCTGCCTGGGGACATTTGAGGCTGGATTCCTCGCGTACGCACACACACGCTCACACACACGCACACTTGCACGCACATGCCAGCAGGGAGGGCACCACATTCACAGACTTAGTCCACAAAGCCAGACAAAGGAAGGTGACTGCCATCCAGCCCATTCCCCAAAGTACCTTCCATGGTGACTGACGTGTGGCTGTCCTTGGAGTCCTTGGGACCTTTCACTTTGAGTTCCTGCCAAAGGGAAGAGAAGAATCACTACCTGGTCTGTGCCCCGACCTCTCCCACACCCCATTGTGAGCATGGCAGGAAGAGGGGCTCTGAAAGCCAGCGTGAGACAAAGGACATGAATGGACACGGGTCTCCCTCTGTCTCACCACCGACAGACCGCCCCCTGTGCCCACCACCCATGCTCTCCTGGAGCCATGGATTCCAGTGACTGGGGGGTGGGCAAGAAGGAGGGGACTCTAGGTGCCGGAGTCACAACAGGTTGTTAGAGAGGACTGTGAAAATTGGGGGCTCCTCAGATCCATCCCCTAAAGCCCCTTCCCACCAACACCGAGGGTCTTCCAGAGAATGAGCTGCGGCAAGACTAGGTCTCCACCTCCCTGCCCCCAGCAGCCACTACTCAGGGGTCTGCACACGTCAGCCCAGTGCAGGCAGGGTTTGAGCCAAAAAGCAACAGGTGTACCAGCTGATCCTCGGGCACGGGCAGCCCTTGAGATACAGACTAAGTGGTCCCACACACCTGCACAGGGGGGATCAGGGAGATGGGGAAGAGACACTGGGCCGCTCAGGGCAGTCCAAGCTACATCCTACCCTACCCACTGCCATTGAGTCAATCCCGACTCATGGCGACCCTGTGTGTTACTCAGAAGAACTGCTCCGTAGAGTTTTCTTGTCACTTTCTTTCCTTAACAGCCTCTCCAGGAAGTCAGCCAAACCTCCCAAGCTAACCCACCAATTGCCCACGGATCCTCGGTGGTACCTGGATCTTTCTAGCCTCGTCCTTCCATTTCAAAATCATGCTGTAGAGTTTTTATGGAAGCAGATCACCAGTGGTACTGCTGGGTGGGTTCGAACCACCAACCTTTAGATTAGTAGTTGAGCACAAGCTATTTCGACACCCAGGGACCTTCAGTGAGGAGGCAATCACCCAGCCTCCAGCTCTTCTGACACTCCCCATGCACTGATGCCTATGCTGGGCATGGGAGGGGAAGGTACAGGGAGGAGAGAGCCAACCGCCCTCTAGACCTCATGCAAAGTGAGTGGGTAGTGAGAGCTGGCAGTGAGATAAGCCAGGGAGGGCTTATCTGATCCAAACCTCCTTTCTTAGAGATACTCCGGCCCAGCCCTGGCTAGGCGGGCAGCGTGCCTGCAATGGGAGCTGTAACGTAATCCCTGCCAGGCGGCTCGATGCACAGGGCCTCGCATGGGGGTGGTGGCGGGAAGGCTGAGGGCAAGGTGAGGACAAGGTCAGGTACCAGGTGAGGTTGCTTGCTCTGCCAGGAAGGGAAGAAATGCCCAGACAGCAGGAGTCCCACATTTCCTACTCCTGCCTCATGCTGTCTCCAGAGAGAGAAAACCACAAGGGACAGAGCACAGACTTGTGTGTGTACGGGGGGCGGGGAGAGAGGGGGTTCTGCTTCTCCAGGCTGTGCCTCTGCCTGGTGCCTGGATTCCCAGTTTTAGGGAACTTTTCTGCACACCCTCCCTCCAGTGCGGCCTGGAGGTATGAAATCACTCCTCTGCAGAGAAGGGCCTAATTGCAGTAATTAAGTGGCAGCGCCAGCAGGAAGCGACAGCGTCAGCATGTGAGTCAGGATGAGAAGCCACCTGGCAGAAGGCCATGGGCCGGGCTCTGCCCTTGGGAACTGGCAGACTTACGAGGGGCTGGGACGGGTGCGGGGGCTTCTGCCCAAGAACGGCAACAGGCAATCCACCCAGGCTAAGGCGACCCCCGCAGTGGGCAGCCAGTAGCCTGTGCAGGGCCATTCTGAACACTGGCCAGAGAATCCAGCTTGCTCCCAGGGAGGCTAGGAGCCATCAGGGGAAGCCCCATTCCTCCAGCCTCCTGATGCAACATAGAAAGACGCCCCCACCGCTCACTCGCTCTCCCTGCCTAGGAGGGCGACTCACTGGATTCGTGAGTTTGGGAGAAAAAGCTGAGCTCGGCCCCTCCTCTCTACCTGCTTGGACGGCTGCACCCTGAGTTAGAGGAGCAGGTGCTGCCTCCACTGGGGACGTCTGTCTGGTTTCCCATCCCTGCTGGAAACTGAGTACATACGTTTAATTCTGGAGGTGAATGTGAGCAAGCCTAGTGTGGCTACCGACGAAAATCCACACTTTCCAACCTGGCTTCGACTAGCAATAAGGCCAACATTATGATCTCTACCTGTGTGATTCTTGTGTTACCTCTTGGTTGGTTCCAAACCGCAGCATAACCTGTGACCCCAGTAGTTTCAGGAAAACTATCCTGCAACTCACCAACTTTTCTAGCATCAGGGCTGAGATGGGGAAAGCAAAGGGCCAAGAGGGGCCTTTAAGGCAAGACTCGGAAAACTACAGGTGTAGCTTCCCCTCCCCAGATCCAGAGGCTCTCCTCCCCTGAGCTTGGAGCCGGGAGCTGTGGCTGCAAGGCCAGTGGCTTAGGGGCATCACTGAAATATTTCTGGATAAGCAGGTGAGCTGGGCTATGCCCCTGAAGGATCCCAGAGCAACCATCCCCTCCCTGCCACGTCCTGGATAGACATGTCAATGGCAGATGACGCCACACACCTGCCCTGCAGAGCAGCATGGAGGGAAGGCTTAGATGCAGCAGCAGGGACAGGAATGTTTGCAACCTGAGGGCCTAGCGGTTCTTCTCCACTTGAGAGTTGCACTTGCCCCCTCTCTCTTGCCCCTGCTTGTGGGACTGCAGAACCATAGATCGGCAAGGATCTTAAAAGACTACCTAGTCCAGACTTCCCCAAATTTTCCTGATCATAAAAATCACCTGGGAGCTGGTTAAAAATACAGGTTCCTGGGCCCCACCCCAGAACCTTGTGAATCAGAAGCTGCAGGGAAGGTGCCTGGAAATCAACATTTCAAACCATGCCCCACAGTGATTCTTAGCAAGTAAGTCTGGAGTGATGAGTCCAGATGCCTGGCTCTACAGAAAAGGAAACAAAGGCCAAGAGAAGGCAAGTGACTTGCTCAAGGTCACCACAAGGGGGAGAATACAGCTTCTTATTTTATCTCCCTGTTCCTCTCTCTAACCTAAAACAGAATAATAATAATAATAAAAATCAAACAAATCGATAGTCTTACATTAAAAGGGAAAATGTCAGGGGGAAGAAAGCAAATGTCAGGCGAAGTGTTACCCATCAGAAGAACCACTTCCCTAACTGGTAAGCAGGGGATGAGCAGCCCAAAGGCTGGAAGGCGCCGAACTGCCCCGAGCCCAGTGTCGTTCGTTGGGGTGGCTGTGTGAGGGAGCTGCCCACCTCTGAGATCTTTTGGAACTGGTTGTTGGACTGGCTGCACTTCTCAGCTGTCTCCAGAGCGACTTTATAGTTATCCACAAATGCTTTGTACACGCCAAGCTGGCTGGCCTGTGGGGAAGAGACAGGGAATAGAGAGAGAGGAGGGTGGGAGGGGGGTGGGGAGACAGGGTTAATGAATGGATGAAAGCTTAACCAGAGCACCTGGAGCTCCCTTAGCGCCCAGAACCTCTAACTCAGCTCCAAAGGGCTAGCTGGGAACAGAAGGGGAAGGCAGAGATGTACATATTACAGTATCCCTTTGAACTTGGCAGTTTCCATGGAAACAGGCTCAGCCAATGAGGTTAACAAGGGGGTAAGGGGGGCAGCACAGGGCCTTTGTTGGTGTGCTAGAGATTCCACTCATCACGGCAGTTGGCTTTATTTAGCATTGTCAAGGTCTCGCAGGGTTTGAGCCCCTTAATGCCTCACATCTCCTTCACATCCTGGAATTAGCTGTGGGGTGGGGGGAGAGACAGACAGACAAGAGAGAGGGGTGGGCATGCGTGGCCTGCTCAGCCCTGAAGCCCCCATGCTGAGGGTGGGGTACAGCATTTAAAGGCACAGTCTCCACCTCCCTGGGCCTCCAGGTCCCCACCTCTTCTGGCCTCCAAGGAGCCAAAGCTCCTGCCTCAATGCACACTGGCACATCACTCTGAACCTCACACAAAGGTTTCCGATCTACGACCACACCGGGCCTCGCCTCCTCTGGGAGGCAGGAGAGATCCCACCATCCCTTTCTGCAAAGGGGAAAATGAGGCTCATTAATCCAATTCTTCAAATATTTATGGAAAGCCTGCTCTGTGCTGGGCATATGCATTTCCTCTTACAGGAACAAAGGGTGGAAATTTCAAATTAAAACCACAATGAGATACCATTCCACACCCATTAGACTAGCCAAAATTTAAAAGTCTAATGATATCAAAGGTCAGCAAAAATGTAGGGAAATATGAGCACACACAGACTGCTTGTGAGGGTGTAAATTAGTACAATCATTTGGAGAGTACCTGGCACTAACAAAGCTGACCACCACCTGTCTGCCAGTTTGTTGTTCTGTGGTAGCTTGTGACTTGCTGTGATGCTGAAAGCTATGCCACTGGTATTTCAAATACCAGCAGAATCATCCAATGTGGAAAGGTTTCAGCGAAGCTTCCAGACTAAGACAGATGAGGAAGAAAGGCCTGGTGATCTGCTTCTGAAAATTAGCCAGTGAAAACCATACAGATCACAATAGAACACTGTCCGACTACCTGGCTTTGGACACGTCATTAAAAAACAAACCCAATGCCATCGAGTCGATTCCAACTCATAATGACCTTATAGGACAGGGTACGACTGCCCCATAGGGTTTCCAAGACTGTAAATCTTTATGGAAGCAGACTGCCACATCTTTCTCCACTGGAGTGGCTGGTAGACCGCCAACCTTCTGGATAGCAGCTGAGTGCTTAACCACTGCTCCACCATCACTGGACACATCATTAGGAGAGATCAATTGCTGGAAAAGGACATCATGTTTGGAAAGCAGAGGGCTAGTGAGGGGGAGGGAGACCCTCAGCGAGATGGACTCACACAATAGCCACATCAATGGATTCCAACCTGTTGGCAATCATGAGGTTGATGCAGGACCAGGCAATGCTTTGTTCTGTTGCAAACTGAGTTTGCCACGAGCCAGAGTCAACTCCAGGGCAGCTAGCTAGCTACTAATAAATCTGAAAATACCTAGAGCCTACTGCTTAGCAAATCTCCTTCTACATACAGATCCTGGACCTGAGCTGTCCAATACAGTACCCACTGGCCACATGTGGCTACTGAGCACCTGAAAGATGGCTGGTGTGAGATAAGATGTACTGTCAATGTGAAATACACACTGGATTTCAAGGGCTTGGCATGAAAAAGGAGAATGTTAAATATCTCATTAATAATTTTTAAAATATTTATTACATGTCCAAACGATAATATTTTGGATCTACTGGGCTAAATAAAGTATATTCAAATTAATTTCACCTGTTTATTTTTACTTTTTTAAACATGAGGCTACTGAGGAAATGTACAATTACAGATGTGGCTCACATCATATTTTATTGGATAGCGCTGCTCTAGAGCTCGTACATACGTGCCCAAGGAGACTCTTCCTGAGAGTGGAAGGACCAGAAACAAATGCTTGCCAACAATGAAACCCGCACAATGCACAGCAATTAAAATGAATGAGCTAGATATATGTGGAGCAGCACCAGTAAGCTTCAAACCAAATGCTGAATGAGTTATAAAATATGTACAATATGACACATATATACACTTCTATACATTCTAAAAGTACATGCAATGCCATAAAAAGATAGAGATATGTAGTAAAACTACACACTGAAGCCCAGAAGGCTACACATTAAATTTATTCCAGTAGCTGCTTCTAGGGAGAATGGAAGAGCAGGCGGGAAGGGCAAGGGAAGGCAAACTTCATCTTCATCTCTCCTGTTTTATTTCCTTGATTAAGGAAAGTTTTGCCACATATTGTCTGAGCTTAACATCTGTTAATTCTGCTACATTAGTATCTAGATTTTCTGGTCTACATTTTTTTTTTTCAATGAAGTAGCAAGGGAGTTCCGGCGGCTGCAGGGCCTCTGCATCCCATCAAGGTGCTGGAGTGCCCCTTAGCTGCACCCCAGAAGACCACTCTGCTTTCTGCAGAATCCTTGTGCTCCTCAAGCACCCAAAACAGGCTACAGGGGGGCAAGCGGGTGAGCACAGCATCACTGGGCCTGGAGGTTCCCGGGACAGCTGGCAGGTGGGGTCTAGGGAAGCAAGAGAGGAGAAGGAGAACTAGGATGCTTGGGGAGACACCAAGACCAGAGGGCACAGGTCTCAGGCCCAGAGGAGCCAGACTTTTCAAAAAGAAAAACCTTTGGAGAGAGGCAGGAAAGGATGTTTTTTTTTTTTCCTTTTCTGAGGGGAGTACAGGCCCACTGGTGCCCTCAAGCTAGAAGAGATTTGCAAGCCAGTTGTTTCCTAAACCAAAGTAAAAATCATGGGTCTTCTTCTTCCAGGAAAGGGCAGACCCTGCCCCTTGTCCCCATGAGAAGGATAAAGTCTGGGTGCCCAGGTGGGAACACGACCCACCCAGCCCCTGCCTAAGGAGCAGCAGCAGGTGAGCCAGGAGCAGGGGCCACCTGGGCAGAAGGCATGTGTGCAGGCCTCATGGGCCATCCCACCCATCTCCACAGTGCAGCCCAGGCTGCAGGGCCCAACACTCAGCCTGCCAGGGTCATTAACTGGGGAAGTGGAGGTTGCTTGGAAACAGCAGCTTGGCACTGGGGTGATTTCATAAACTAAACAGCAGAGATGCTAATTCCCTTTTCTCAGAAATGAATAATCAAATATCCGGAGACTTCAGCTGAAAATAAACTGTCTCCAGATGCCCGCCTGCCCGGCTCCACCCAGACCTCCCAAGCCTGCAGGCCTAGGTGCCTTAGACATCAGGCCTGAGCCTGGTGCAGCAGGCGGCCCTGATGGCAGCAAGGTTCAAGTGATGAAGGTAAACTGGTACCCACCCTCCTGCCCCTGGGTTTGCTCCCTTCTGTCCACCTGAGGGCTGAGACGAGGACATTACCCGCCCCCTCCCCTGGCTCAGGCTCCTAGAACTAGGCTGGGAGTAATGGCTGGGTGTCCACCATCCCGGAACTGGGGAAGCACTCTGGGGCTGCTAGAGGCAAAGGTGTGGAGGTGCCTTGTAACAATGCCTTCTAGGGTGCCCCTTCCTAGTAATAATGATAATAATAATAGTAGTAGTAATGAGAGTACTAACAGTAATAATAATGGCTAACACTATTGAGTATTTACTATTTGCCAGGCCCTGTTCTAAGCACTTTTCAGGTACTAAACTAATTTAATTCTCACAACAATCCAACGAAGATTACTAACAATACTAATGTTATAATAATGTATAAGCTATAATAATAATATCCTCATTTTCACAGATGAGGAACCTGAGTCATGGAGAAGTGAGGCGAGTTGCCCAAAGTCACAGATTTACTCTGTGGCAGAGCTGAGATTCCAATCCTGCTGTGATCTAGTTCCAGAAGTTGTATTGAGCACTGGGCTGGTACTGAGGGTCTAATGATGAAGAAACAGTCTGTCCTCCCAGAGCTCATGGCTTTGGGGAGACAGGCAGCTACAGGTGCTCCAATGAGGGGATGAACATAGGGCCTGCATTTGACGGGCTGGAGAAGGCTTCTTTGAGGAGGTCACTTCTACCTGAGAACTGACCAGAAGCCAGACAAGATGGGAAGGCCACTGAAGACAGTCACCAGTACAGAGAGGTCAAAGTGCCTGAGTGTGACCTGGGAACAGGAAGTTCAGTGGCGGGGCACAGGGGGTGGGGGAGGCAGCAGAAGGAGGTGGGCAGAGGCTAGGATGTGAAGGGTCTCATATGCCATGCTCTGGAGCCTCGACTTTATCCAATGGGCACAGGGAGCCACTGAAGCCAGGCAGAAGCAAGGTCTGATGACTGGTTCTGAGAGATATCTCCAACTGCTGGGTAGAGGTGGGAGGTGGGATGGGAAGCAGGTCCGCAGGCAGGAACCACTCATGAGGTGACAGCAGTGGTCTAGGTGAGGGGCAATGGTGGCCAAGATGAGGGCCAGCAGAGGGAGTGGAGAGAAGGAGGTGGCTGTGAGTGACATCAAAGAAGTGGACTCCACTGGCACAGGGGTGAAGGAGTGGGTGAGGGAGGAGAAGGTGCCAAGAATGAGTCCAAAAGTCCCCAGCTCAGGAGATGGAAGGATGGTGGTAAGAGCAACGGAGATAAACACAGGAAGGAGGGCAGACAACTTCAGAGACAAAGAGGCTCTAGGACTGTCCAAGCCAGAGTTTTCTCCAGTCTTAGAAAAGGAGAGCCCTGTCCATTCAGCTAGTCCCAGGGTAGGGCAGGAAAAGTAGGTGCCTGGTCCCTGTCCCCTGCCTCCTCCCACCATTGACACCAAAGCAGGAATCACCATTGCTCCCAGTCTCCTTCTGCCTGCTGGGCTGTCAGCCCAGGGGAGAGCCGAGTGGGTGGGGCAGGGGGACCCATGGGTCTGGGGGTCCTCCAGGAGACACAGCCAAAGCTAGGGGAGAGGGTGTCATGGAAGCCCTGGGAGGCAGAATATCCCGTGAGCGTTTCCCAATAGTAAGTCTATACATCAGTTTTCCCTCCTCATTCCTTTTCCCTCCCCTGCTGTGGTTGGTGGGGCTGGGCTCTTAGTGCTTTCGACTCACAGGATCTCAGGAGAAGATCAGTAGCTGATGAGGTCTCCGATCCAACTGCCTCATTTTACAGCATGCACCTGGGGTCTCAGGTGAGCAGCCTCCCCCATGCCCCGCTCTCAGCTGAGGGACAGGGGACCTGAAGGCCAGCAGGGGAGCCTCCATTCCAGCCCTGGCTCCACAGAGACCCCTCACCGAAAGAAAACTGACCCTCTGCCAGAAGCATCTATGTACATAGCCTGTCTTGGCATCCCTAGAAATACTCCCAGGGCTTCACGGGGCAAACTGGAGTCAAGGCACCAGGCCCAAGCTTTCCTCCAGGACATAGAAATGACCCAGGCCTTTAAGGAGGCCAAGGCATGGGAGGGCTGGGGCTGACTGGTCCTCTCCCAACAACAGCAGCTCTACTGAGGCTCTGAATGAAGACCCTCCAGCAATGGGAGACTCACCAGCTTCTGGAAGAGGTGGCCCATGGTGACCTGGCTGTCCCACTGCTGCACCTTGGGACAGAGATTGTCATAGAACTCCTTGTGGATCTCATAGATGTCCTGGATCTTGTAGAAGATGGTTTCAATCTGCTGGATGGTGAGCACGGGCTGGGAGGTGGTAGCTGTGGCCTTCAGGGGTTTCATGGGCTGTGTGAGGAAGAGGAAAGAAGAGCAGAGATGAGGGGTATGTAAACTGAGTGTCAGCAGGCCCAGGGAAGACTGTGGCACTGACTGCCCCAACCTGCTGCCAGAATCCTGCCTAGACAAGGGCACCTGCCTTCAGGGCAGGGCACCTAAAGCATCGTTTGTATCAAGGAGTTGATGTCACAGGCCTTAAGAAGCCACACTCCACTACAAGGAGAAGAAGCCTGGCCCAGTAGCCATGCCAGGCCCAAGGGGTGGAGCCAGGGCACACTCCTCCAACCCGCGTCTAGTCCCTACTGCACCAAGCACCCACCTTGTACTGGATTTGCTTGTCAGTTTAACAGGATCCATGTCTTTCTCCCACCATGGCCTCATGCCCTGAGTCATAAGCTTCCTGGTCACAATTCAGTGGAAATGGAGGGCCGAGTGGGAACTCAAACCCTTAAGCCATTTCCATCTAAGACACAGAGGACTGTTTTAGGACTCTGGAGGTAGAGTCTCAAAAAGACCTAAACCAGACTGAGCTTCACTGATACTTCTTGTTCCCATCACTTAGTACAGAGAGAGGGAGCAGGTGGCACACATGCCACCCTCCCATTTCCTGCACCTGTGTCAGACATCGCTAAGCGATCACAATGATCTTTCCCACTGAGCCAGGATATGGTCTCAGCCTCTTTCTCAATGTTGGGCAATTATTCTGTCATCCCTGTTTGTCTACCCCAAGATGCTCCAGGGCCTGCAAGTAGACAGGGGAGGTGACAGACAAGAACTCAGGACCAGCCCCCCTCCCACACACACTGGCTATGTGTTGAAGCCATCACCTTAAATGCCCAAGAGTAGGACTGTGGGATCATGAGGAAGGGGTGCATTTTCTTCAGTGTACTTTTCTGTATTTTCTATATTGTCTATAATGAGTAAATATTAAGTTTTATAGTCAGAAAAAAATAAATGCCATTGAAAATTCACAGTTGAAACAAACAAGCTGATACTAACGTGATATAATACTGATACTGACCCAAAAGCCCCAAAGCCCCCCATACTTCACTCCAAAGGCCCTCCAAGTGATAGGGAGAGGGCGTTTACCTGGAAGAGGGAAGCCTGAGTCAGATACAGTGACGTACTTCATGTATCTGAAGGACTGTGTGGAAAGAGGCCTCAGACTTAGTGCAGGTGACTGTGGAGACTCAGGAGCAGTGGGGAGACATTCTGGGGGCAGGTGTGGGGTCACTTAGAGCTCTCCAGCTCTGTTCTCTGAAGATTAGGTAGTGAGCTTTCTAACAAGAGAAGCATTCTAGCAGAGAATGGGCCACTCAACTGCTGAAAATGCTAGACTGGACGGAAGACCTACACTGAGGGAGACCAAAGCTATTGCTGGCTCCTTCTGGGAGATGAGAACCAGCTCGAGCTAACCACAGCAGCCTAACTCCAGCTCAGCTTCACTCCATCCTCCCATCTGCTGCCTCACCCTGATAGTAGCAGAGCCCCAGTTAGTCCACAAGAAGTCCTGTCTACTCAAATACCCAGACAATGTTCCGACTTCTAGTTCCCTTGTTCTCTGAGCTCTAAAAAGTCCAGATACAACGATGAAGGCAGGAAAAGGCTGAACCTCCTCCTTACCGACTCAGCACTGGAACCAACTGACCCTCAGTGTCCAGTCCTTGCTAGGAAAGTAAGATGGGGTTTAACCTGTGCACACCAGGCAGCATAGGTTTGAATCCCAGCTCGGCCACTTAATAACTGTGGGCAAGTCACCTACCATCTCTGGGTCTCAGTGGCCTCATTTGTAAAACTGGGATAACGTTACCTTCTTCAGAGGACTACTAAGAAGACAAAAGCCATGATTTAGATAAAATACCTAGTATGTGCCTGGCACATAGAAGATAATCAATGTTAGCTGCTACTATTATTACTATTCACCCCACAAACCTGTACCAAGTGCTTACTGTGAGGCCAGGCCAGAAGAGGTGAACAAAGCACACAATCCCTGCCCTCATGGAGCTTCCAGTCTAGTAGGGTCTCCCAGGCTTAGGAAAGAGAAGAATTAGCAATACAAGTAAACAAATATACACAGAATTACACAGAGTGTTAGTGCAATTCAGGAAACGAAGAAGGGGGAGTCTTCTGAGACCTGATGCTGAAGACAGCTTCTCCAAAGAAGGGACATTTGCCTTGAAGTAGAAGCATGGGGGAAGGGAGAAGAGAACTCCAGGCAGAGTTCCTCAATGCCTGGCCCTGCAGTGGGAATGCGCTTGGTGAGAGAGAGAGAAGCAGAAAGAAAACCAGCGTGTCTGGACTGTAGTGGGCAATGGGGAGAGAGGTGCCTAAGGCAAGGCTGGAGGTGTGGGCAGGGGCCAGATCACACAGGGCCTTGAAGGCCCAGCTAAGAGTACAGCTTTTAAGCCCCTCCTATGATTGGGAAGGCACTGGAAGGTTTTAAACAGGGGAGTGATGGGATCCAATTTTCTTTTCAGGAGACTATTTTTAGGACTCACAATCTCTGCCCCAGAGAACTTTATAATCTATTTGGGTAAACTGGACCAACACAAATGAGACACTCAGTGGACGACACCAGCTGCCGTAGTTGATTCTGACTCATGGTGACCTCGTTCGTGTGTTGCAGGGTGGACAACGCAAGATAGACTATTACCCACCCGACTTGGACTGTAAATACCAACCAAGTGATCCCAAGGTTGTGCTGGAGCAGCTGGAGGACTTCACAGAGGAGGTGACAGGAACAAGGTCTCAAAGCAGAGGTGGAAGTGTAGGGTCTGGGTAAGCATACCAGTCAGGGAAACAGAAGGAACTAGGAGCCAGAGAAGAACCCCAGATGGGTGTCCAGGCTCAGCTTCATGGGCTCTCAACACTCCTTGAAGGATACAGATCTCGGCTTCAGGGTCTACATTAGTTTATCCTTTTCACCTCTTCCCAGGATCCGATGGAGGAGCCCAAGTCACCACAGAGTCCCAGAACCATTAATCCTTATCCCCACTAAGGAGGAAATAAAGGGAATTGGGGAGGAAAAGTCCAGGGAAGGGAAAGGGGGCAGGATTTCTCAGAAGCTTCTGGGGAAGCATCATCTCTCGCCTATACAAAGAAGACACCACTCTGCTTCCTCCTGAACTTCCCAGTCTGTCTCCAAAAGGGGAAGAAACGGACATCAGCGGCAGGTCACATGGATGGGGCCTGCACTGGGGCAACAGTCGTTCTCACAACAGTATCAGGGACCTTTACTCTTTAGCCTGATTTCACTTGGGGCAAGGAGAAAGGGCTGGGTTGTGCCCTTTGCTGGGGGGTGACTGTTGAAGGCAATTATTTTTATCAGGTGAAGCCCTGCATCTAGGCCTTGGGGCGGGAGGGACAGATGAAAGGCAAAGGTAACCCAATCCTGAGGCTGTTTTGCCAAAGTGCCCTCATCCCAGTTACCTCATCCCTCCCCACAGTCCCGCTGCAGAGGGCAGGGGTTGGACCTGTCCTTCCATTTTATCAGGGGAGAAACAGATTCTTAGAAAGAATTCCTGAGTCACCTCAGCGTCAACCCTGGCTCCCGATTTCCCAGCCAGAGTGCTGACTCACCACGGAACTTTAGGCAGCCATTTGTCTGCTCTGTCCCCCAGCAATTCGCCCGCTTCTCCAAGAACCAGGGGCAAGAAGTCTGCCCATTTCCTCCACCTCCTACCCGAGAAGCCTGGAGGCTGCCAGACTTGTTTGCTAATATATCAGCAAGCCCAGAGGGGAAGGTATCATTAACCTATTTTACAGATAAGGATCCTGAGACTCAGTGGGACTCCAAACCCCAAGGCCAACTGCTGGAATGAGAGTTAAAGAGAGAAGGGCCAGCTGTGGTCCAGGGCTAGGCAACGGCCCCACACTCAGGGCCTAAACTAACTCCTCTTCGCGGAAACCTGAGAGACGTGGAATTACATGCATTTCATTTTGTCTCTCTTTCCTCCACCTCAGCCCAGGCTCCCAGGCCTGCTTCATTTGTAATCTGAACCCGCCAGGAACCTAGACGGTTCCAGATTATCAACCCTTGGCCCCAGCCAGCAAGCCTAGGGGCAGGAACAGAGGCTCCTCTGTGGTGTCCCTGTCAGTGCCTGTGTGTGTACACAGTCTTAGGTACACACTCCCAGCCGTCTGCATATCGGGAAGTGTTAAGCTGAGAACAGTCAAACGTGTTAGGAGCAGAGCTGAGGGAATGGGGGTGGGGTGACGGGAAGGAGATCTGAGGGTGGGAGGGGGAAGCCAGCAGAGAGAGAACAAATTTTCTCCTCTGAGCCAGCTCCTTTGTCAGACCACGCCAAGAGCAGAGGGCTTAGCTCACTGGTAGCTGAGAAGGAAGGGCCTCTGTTCAAGGTGGAGAGGACAGAGCCCTTGATTCCTCATCATCTGAGTCTGTGGCAGTGGAGGGTCATGCCCCTTCTTTCTAAGCCTCCAGCCACAGAGCTGGCCTCCTAGCTGAGGCCTCGTCACTCCTGCAGGCCTCTGCTCAATAAAGAATCTACCAGGGGCCTGGGAAGAGACAGTGGAGGGGGAAGGGACCTGCCCAGGAACCTGAGGAAATGGGGTGCCAGCGTCCCAGTCTTTGTTTTGGGGGTACGAACCCTTAGAAAGGCAAGGGGGGTGTCTGGGACCTTGAATCTGTACCTTTGCCCAGACAAATGGAAACAAAATAGGCCCGATGACAAGCTGGAACCTAACAGTGGTGTGCTTCTGCGGAAGAAACGGGCCTCCCCTCCTTCAGGGAAAGTGTGTGCTGACAGAAACAAGTAAGTCCTGACTTGTCTTCTCTCCCAGCACTGGAGAAAATAACAGTAGCTAACACAGTGGTGGGACGCATTAGTGGTTCAGCGAAAGAATTCTCCCCTTCCATGTGGGAGACCTGGGTTCAATTCCCGGCCAATGGGCCTAACGCACAGCCACCACCCCTCTGTCAGTGGAGATTTTTGTGTTGTTATGATGCTGAACAGGTTTCAACAGAGCTTCCAGACTAAGATGGACTAGGAAGAAAGGCCTGGAGATCTACTTCTGAAAATCAGCCAATGAAAATGGTCCCCAACCAATCATGGGGATGGCAAAGGATTGGGCAGTGTTTTATCCCACTGGGCAGGGGGATGCCCATAAGTAGGAGGCTGTATGTGTCAGGCTCTGTTCTAAGAGCTTTCCAAATAACTCATTTAACTCTCACAACAACCCTATGAAGAGAGAACCATTAGTATACCCGTTTTATAGATGGAGAAAATGAGGCAGAAAGGTTCATTAGTCTGCTGAAGTTAAAGGCTAGTAAGCAGTTGAGCTGGAATTCAAAGCCAGGCAATCTGGTTCCATTGTTTAATCTCCTTTCAAATATGCATTCTGTTGACAATGACAACTGTGACATCTTATTTTGGTACAGCACTTTACAGTTTACAAGGTATATTTCACATATGTCTGACTGGTTGTCTGCCTATCCTCCTTCCTTCAGCAAATATTTGAGTACCTAGGTACCTGGCATTGCATTAGGTACCAAAAGGATCATCTGATCTTGTTCTCAACCTCATGAGGAAGAGAGAGAATGTAATGGTATTATTCTCATCTTCAGATGAGGACACTGAGGCTTAAGGGAGTTTCTGCATGGCTTGCCCTAAGCTAGTGCTTTTCAAATCCACAACCCATGTAAGAAATAATGTGGCCTAGTACATAAAACATACATACATACATATACAACAGCCAAAAGGTTCATGAAATAGTACTTATCCTTATTATGTGTGAGGTATACTGATAGTTTCTTTTTCATTTGTTTAAAAATGCTGGCCCAACCCCAACACTGATTTCGCAACCTGCCAATGAGTCCTGACATGCAGTGTGAAAAATGGAGCAATAAACCTACCATAATGGCAGAGTTAAGTCTTGCTTCAGTTCTGGCCCCAGATCAGAGGTCTTATCTACCCGCCACACTGTCCCTCACTTGGAAAACAAACGTGCATAATGATAAACTCTTGTGGGAATCTAACACAAACTCAGCCCTGTCTGTTTCAAAGTGTCCAAATCTTTCGATAAAGTTATTCTTTGGGTAATAAATGCCAAGTCCCCCTGGGACACTGGATGGCTCTAGTTCACATCACAGCAAGTACATAAATGTGTATTTTAACCCACAATTCTTGTGTAAGAATGAGTTGCTACTGATCTATACCTACATTTCTTATCCCTCCTTCTTCTGGCATCATCTTATGTCTCAGACTGCAAAACACCCAAAGGAAAAGAACTTTTATGTCTTAATCACTCTGCATAATATCCAGACACATCTAGTAAGCACTTTCTTCAAAGGCAAAAACATCTCACATTTGTGTAGTACTTTTACCCTTTGAAAACATTTTAATATTCACTTCCCAATTTGACTCTTACAACAAGCCTGAGAAATACATGGAGCAGGTGTCTTCGCCCTCTTATGGATGAGGAATCTGAGTAACCTTTGCAGAGAGCTGAGGTTTATCCAATGGCAGAGCTAAGGTGCTTCTCAAAATGACACAGACAGCCATCCACCACACATTTCCTTACACAGAGCCTCCCAGGGAGGAGTAAGGACTTGGAACAGAGTAGAGCGGAGGGAATGGGGGTGGGGTGACAAGAAGAAGATCTGAAGGTAGGAGAGGGAAGCTAGCAGAGAAAGAACAAATTTTCTCTCAGCATAGTGTGAAAAAGGCGGCTAGGGCTCCACCTGGACTGTGTACTGTGATCGATTAGTAATGTTTACGCCATGGTCGTGGGCAGTGGGAGCTGTAGTGCTGCCTTATGCTTCCCATTCCTACCCTGGGTGTGCTTCTCCTCCTGCCTTTCCCAGAACAGGGAATGAAAGGCACAGGCCTTTCTGGCAATGATCCCCAGCTGCCTGAGGCCAAGATGTAAGCAGAGGAGTACCGCAGACTCTGTCCACAGGGAAGGGCTGGTCCAGGTCCCCTTCCTCTTCAACTCCAAAATCAGTTTTAGAGTACAACTTTGTCCGACAGGGGGACCAGAAGTCCCCAGAGAAGATAGATACTCACCAGCAGCAGGGCTTCCAGCTGGTTAATGTAGATCTCTTCACTGGCCAGGAACCCCGAGAGAACCAGCTTCCGCATCTCCAGGCCTTTCCCTGCTTCCACCTGCAGACAAGTAAATCAAAAGCCAACCACTCATGAGAAATGAGGACAAAATTCTGAGTGCCCTGTTTTCTTGCCTTTCTTCTCTTCCTTTAATTAACACTTTCATAGAGAATAAAACCCAGATATAGTCACTATAAAAATTTTGGAAAATAGAAATATAAAAAGAAAAATAATCACTCCCACTCCCACTGTTAACATCTTGCTTTGTTGCTTTCCCGTCTTTTTTTTTTTCATATTTGTCTATTTTATATCCATCCATCCATCCATCCACCCATGCATCAACTTATCTAACCTCATACCAGACAGCAAAATAACAGAGGACCTGCCTTCCTGTCTGGTAGGCAGTTTAATGGGGGACACAGAAAGTTAAGAAAATGGGTGGTACAAACAGTTAATCAATGTGCTTAGCTGCTAACCAAAATTTTGGAGGCTGAAGTCCACCCAGAGGTGCCTCTACTTCTGAAAAATTAGCCATTGAAAACCCTATGGAGCACAGTTCTACTCTGACCCACGTGGGGTCACCATGAGTTGGAGTGTACTCTACGGCAACTAGTTAGAGACAGTTAAGAAGGGAAATCAGCGCCATGATGGGCCGGGGGCAGGGGGACACAGTCATAAGGAAGGACACAGGAGGGGCCAGAATCTAAGTCTGGAAACAGAGGAGGCTCCCAAGGAGACAATGTACAAGTTGAGACCAGTAGGAGTGGACAGAATGCGGATGGAAGTGGGCCTGGGGGTGCCCAGCCTTGTGGCCTTCCAGCTACACTTCTGACTATATCACCCTGTCCCTGGGGGCTCAATCCCACAGTAGAAAGTGCTGGTTGTGGGGCCCTCAACCTCACCCCCTGCACTGCACCTCAGTGTTCCCTGACCACCTCCCCTTGTAAGGCCCAGACACAAAGTTGCTGCTTCCTCCTTCCAGAATTGCTGCTCCTCCAGAGTGAAGATCATGCCCTACTTAGGCTTAAATGCCCTCCGTCAGCACAGGGCCCGGCACAGAGAAAGTGCTCACTAAAGTTTTTTGAGTAAAAAAACCCACAATTGTCCCTGTCATCTAGGATCTCCAAGAGTCATCCTGGTCCCCTCTTCATCTCTCTCTCTCCTTCACTCTCACATTCAGGCCCCAAGCCCTTGGAAGCTTTCTCTATAATCTCCTACATGAATCTCCCATCTGTTCCCCCCTCCCCTCTGCCGTGGTTGAGGTGCACCGCACCCCGCTCTGCTGCCCCAATTCTCCTAACTGACCAACCTTCCTAAGCCTGCCTCCTGTCCACACACCAGAGCCAGATCAGTCTTCTGAGACTGCTGCCTCATACCTGACATTAGACAAGGACTTGCTATCAGTACTGCAAAAGGTGATTATTTGGGGATTCAATTAAGTTATTCACTCATTTCTGTATTCATTCAACAAATATTTACTGAATGCCTACCAGGCTCTCTAGATACAATGAGAAACAATCACACAATAGTTCCTGTTCTCATGTGTCTTAAAATCTCGTGGGAGAGAAAAACATTAAAAAAGGAAATACGTAAAAATAGGACTAGGAACTGTGATAGGTTCGAATGTTGTAAGTTGCCCTCAAGTTGGCCCCTGACACATGGCAGTCCCATGTCCAGCGGAATGAAACACTACCCAGTCCTACACATCCCCATGATCAATTACTGATTGGATCATTGTGATCCATAGGGATTTCATGGGCTGATTTTTGGGAATAGATCATCAGGCCTTTCTTCCTAGTCTGCTTAGCTTGGAAGCTCTGCTGAAAGCTGGTCAGTACCATAGCAACATATAAGCCTCCACTGACAGCTGGGTGATGGCTGTACATGAGGTGCATTTGGCTGGGAATGGAACGCGGGTGTCCCATATGGAAGGTGAGAATTCTATCACTGAACTCTGGGTCCAGCATATCCTTTAGGTAAAGCACCTTAAGCGTCCCCTAGTGCCTGTCGCTGCCCTTCCAATCTCCCCTACAGCCATCCAGCCTCTGAGTGTTCCAGCCTCTGAACTTCAGTTCTTCGCTATTTCTGCTGCCATTTTAATCCCCTCTCCCACTCTGGCTCTTATTGTCCAAACCCTACCTCTACTGGAAGGCACAGCTGAAGTCTCACCTCCTTCTCAAGTCCCCCTGGATCACCCTGGCCTGAAGCATCGGCTCTCATGTCAGAGAGTGCAACGCTGACCCTCAGTACCTTGAGGAGCTGCCTATATTGTTAACTGTCCCCACGATTTTGTAGGGCCTCTGAAGCACCTGCCTCACATCCCCGAAGCCCAGCACCATGCGATACACACAACGTTTATTAAGCCTTATACGTCCTTTCAAGATCCCAAGGTGGCGTAAATGGTTTGCACTTACCAAACGTCTACAGTTCAAACCCACTCAGTAGTGCTGCGGAAGAAATGGCCTGGCGATCTACTTCCATTAAAATTACAGCCAAGAAAACTCTACGGAACGGTTCTACTCTGTAACACATGGGGTCTCCATGAGTCAGAACTGACTTGATGGCAACTAACAACGACAACAAAAGTCATTTCACTCCCTCATTTAGCCCTCAAACATCCCAGTGATGTGGGTACCATATCAATCCATTATACAAATTAAAAAAGGGAAGGAACTAGCCTAGGGTCAGCAGCCAGGAAGTGGCAGTGCTGGGATTCTACCCCAGGCCCCCTAACACCAAATTCCATGCTCTTTCACTGCGTTAATGATTTCCTCACTCTCATGCTCCTTTTTCAAGGATCAGACGCTTATCCGGCATCTCAAACAAATTGCTTTCTGGACATCGAGTGGGTGTCCTTAATACAGGCTGGGCCAGTGTACGATGAAGTCATCAGAAAGCGTGTAAGTGCCGAAAACAGCTGCTGTCCCCCAGATGGACCACCTGCCCCAGCACATTCTCACAGGCTTTCCCACCCTTTCCAGGCCACGGGTTGAATCCTTTGCCTCCCATCAGCAACTCAGCAGATCTGTGCTGAAGGCTGCTGCCCCCAAAGTTTCTGAAATGCTATCTGACCTGTGGTAGACAGAATCATGGTCCCCAAAAGATGTCCACATCCTAATCCCCCAAACCTGTGAATATGTGAGCTTACATGGCTAAGGGACTTTGCAGATGTAATTAAGTTAAGGATTCTGAGATGAGGAGAGTATCCTGGATTATCCAGGTGGGCCCTAATCACAAAGAAATAGGAAAAAAAACCCAAACCAAACCCAGTGCTGTCAAGTTGATTCTGACTCAAGGGGCCTTATAAGAGGGAGGCAGGAGAGCCGGAGTCAGCAAAAAGGTGATGTGATGATGACAGAAGCAGAGACAGAGAGGTATGAAGATGCTGCTAGTTTTAAAGATGAAGGATGAGACCACAAGCGAAAGAAGGCAGGAGGCCTCTAGAAGCTGATAAAAGGCAAGGGGACAGATTCTCCCCTAGAGCTTCCAGAAGGAAGGCAGCCCTGCTGACCCATTTTTAGACTTCTGACCTCCAGAACTATGTTGTTGTTGTTGGTGGGTGCCATTGTAAGCAGCTGGTGGGTTGGAATCTCTGACCTCCTGGTTAGCAGCCTAGCGCTAACCATTGAACCACCACAGCTCCTTTTCCAGAACAATAAGAGGATATATTTGTATTGTTTTAAGCCACTAAGTTTGTGGTAACTTGTTTCAGCAGCTGCGGGAAACCAGTATATACCCCAAGCTTTCGGGAAGGGCAGTAAGTGATTACTGGCTTTGTGTGTACCAGGCACTGTTCTAAGAGCTTCACGTGGATGAACTTGCTTGAACCTCATAATCTGGTAGGAGCTATTATTATCCCATTTATTGGAAACTGAGGCACACAGACTGGTAACTACCATCTGTCTCAAGCTGTCTGCATTGCAAGGCAGGCAGTACACCCTCTCAGTACATACCCAGAACCCACTGGGCGAGCTGCCTAGTTCTCTATAGCCCATCTCCCAGAGCTGGAAGCAGGGCCCCAGCCCCAGATCCTCAAGGTCAGACCCAAGGCGGCCCCCTGCACATCATAAAAACCCTGCTGCTTCCCAAGTCTGACAAATAGCGCTCCCCTACTCTCCTCCTGTTCCCTAGCAACCAAGGATTTGCCCCAGGGCCTGCAAACACCGTCTAAAGGAAATCACCCAGGGCTCACTGTGAGCTGTAGAGCTGGTTGGACTAGGACAGGGTAAGAAGCTTGTGATTTGCAGCTCCAGCCCCAGCCCCAGCCCCAGCCAAGCCTTCACCCACCCTCACACAAGTACAAGCCCTTAGCCCCTGGAAGGGTCCATTTCAGCAAGACACTCCCCTCAAGAGACTCCTATCTCATAATCCAGTCCTTAAAGGCAGTTCTGAGGAGAAGACAAGTCAGGAAGCCCCACCTCCAAAAGGCAATAAATAGTCACTCTGTCCCAAGAGTCCCCACTCTGGGCCACATCACTCTCAAGCTTTGGCTGCGACAGGATGGAGGGAATGGAGAGGTTTGGGATGCGAAATTAAATTCTGCACATTTTACTAACAGGACGACTGCTGCTCAAAAAAAAAAAAACAAAAACCCAAACCAGTTGCCATGGGGCAATTCTGACTCATGGTGACCCCCTGTGTTTCAGAGAGAACTGCTCCACAGGGTTTTCAAGGTTGTGACCTTTTAGAAGCAGAATGCCAAGCTTTCTTCTGAGGCACTTTGGGGTGGGTTCAAACTGCCAACCTTTCAGTTAGCAGCTGAGCACTTAACTGTGCCATCCAGGGACCCTGGTCTCTTGCTCAGTCACCACCAGAACCTCTCCCATCTTCGCTATCCTCCCCCCACGTTTCTGGTTTAGAATTGTCTGCAAATTCACAATTATTTCTTCAACCCCTGTGGGGCTATTCTTGTCTTTTAAAACACCAGGGCTCAACATTCATTCATTCCCCACTCCGTGCCAGAAGGGAAGGAGACAGTCTCTGTCTCCAAGGAGCTCTCCAGAGGTGCCCATATGCCCAGAATCCCCTGGGTGAACTGCCCAGTTCTCTAAAGAGTGCAG